AAGCACCGTCACCTCGGTGCAGGGTAACCAGTGCTACCTGACTCTGCGTTCTACAAAGCCGAGGTAGAGAGAGACCCTGCAAAAGGAGAGCAGGAGCTACATCCCACAGGGCCCCCCAAAGGAAGTGGCAGCAGAGGGGTGCAGGCATGGTGTTATCGGTCACCCTGCGGGCAGGGCGGGTCAGGGCTGGACAGGGGCCAGTGCCTGCCATAGCGGAGATTACGCTTTGGGTTTAACGTTCATCCCAATCCATGACCTGCCCGGGAGAGAAGGGGGCGAGCAGCACTGGAAGACTGGTCTGACAGCTTTGGGGACTCCTGAGTCCCACCAGCATCCCTGCTCAAAAGGGACATCCAACACTGGTGCACTGCCCACTCTCCCACATCCCCATGAACACGCAGCAGTGAGCCTCCCTAAAACCTACCAGCATCACCCCTGCTGCAGCCACCCCAACCCTGCCCAGCAGAGACCCTGGGAAAGCAGCAGACTGCTGTTACTATCCCTGCTCCAGGTGGGGCCCAGCAGCCCCCTGGCAGCCCTGCCGGCTCCCCAGCACCCTCCCCCCGGCAGCGGCAGGAAACCACAGCTGCAGCCTGCGGGCAGCTGATAACGGTCACCCAGCCCCATCCTGCCTGCACCCCACCACTCGGGGAGCTGTCCCCACACCCACTGTTCCCCAGGCCCAGGAGTGCACCCACACCGTGCACAACGGCAGCCCCAGGGCCCAGTGTCACCCTGCACAGAGCTGGGGGCTCTCGCTGACATTGCAGCTGTTCACCAGGACACACTGACAGTTGTGCATGGGCACCATGCTCCCAAGTGTCCCAGCATGCTTCTAGCACACCACGCAGACTCATGCCTCGCATATTCTAGCAACATGGATGTGGTGGGAGAATCCCCGAGCAGAGTGGGGGAGGAGAGGGTGGCATGAAATCGAGTGATCTGACTGGAAAGGGATGGGCAGGGGACACTTGAGCTGCTTCGGCTCCTGCCCTGCCTGGGGGCACACAGCTGCCTGGCCAGTGCATTCCTGGCCACAAGCCCTGGCCAGGGAAGTTCCACTCCCCAGGGGCACCCCCTCACTCCCCAGGGAGCAGCTTTCACGGCAGTTTGTGTTGAGCAGGTAACAACATTCCTGGAATAAACTTGGGGCCCAGTGCAAATACACAGTGCTGAACCTGCTGGCACTACTGTGGCACTAACTCATCCAGGATTCTCCTGGCAAATACTGAGTGAGCTCGCACTGGCCCCAAGGACCGCTGTGATGGTGCCTCACACCAACAAGAAGACCCCTGAGGAATCCCCTCGCTGAGCACCAGACAACCAACCACAAACCCATCCTGACTTTGCCACAGCATTCCAAAAGTGGGCAGGTAACGCAGCACACATGGTATCTAGTGTCAAGCACTTCGCCGCTGACGGGGACAGGGCAAGGAACATGTTTTATCCAAACATCACTGGTAACATGAAGAAAACCTGGACTAGAGCACAATGAGGCTTGGGGACCCCTACTGCTCCTCTCCTCCCCAACAGGCCCAGGGGCACCCCAAGGCACCAGGCACCCCCGGGGGTGTTTGGGAGCCAGAGCCCACACAGGTCAGGGCTGCCTGCCCCCCCGCCGCGGCACTCAGCCCGCTCGCTGCCATCCCTTTCCCAGCGCATCTGTCGCAGAAGGCATGTGGCACAGCTCGGCCTCGTGACGGTGGGGGATGCACGGCGCCAGCTCGGCAGAAAGGAGGGATACGGCAGTGGGCCGTGCCCTGGCTGGACATGTCCATCCCGGGACCTGACGCATGTGGCTTGGGAAGCTCTCCCTCCTGCCAGAGGGGTGCACAGGGTGGCTCTCTGCAAGGTGTCCCAGGGAAGGTGCTGACCTTGGGAAAGTTGCTTCCCTGCCATGAAGCTGGAGCCAGCCCTGCAGGGAGGGAGAACAGCTCCACTCCGCTTTGCTCCCCTCCTCCCTCTCTGCACTGACACCATCACTACAGGGGGAAAAACAATGATAATAACAAAAATAATTAAGAAGGAAAGTACAGAGCATGCTGGGAGAGTGAGAGGTGCCCCCAGGGGTCAGGGCCCCGCTGGGGTCTGGATGCCAAGACCTGTCTGCCAGCCCTGCTCCAAGCAGCCCTGAGCACAGCACCACTGGCACCAGCACCAGACAGCTGCTGCTCTAGCTTCTTCCACCTCCACTCTGAGCCTATTACACTCTTGCTGCTCACCTCTCCACATCTGAGGTGGGGGACAAAGCCCCCCTCAGGCCTCCACTGGCCCCAGCAGCTCCCCACCATCCTCGGACACAAGAGTGCATCAGGTTCCCAGCTGAGCAGCCTCCCGGCTCCAAAGCTCTTGCAGAGGGGAAGAAAGGAGCAGGGAAACATCTCTGGAGGGGTGCGAGAGGAGTGCGAGAGGAGCTGCAGTGGGGAAGGATGCACCCCCAGGGATGGCAAGGAGTACATCATCCCTCTGGGAGGGCACAACTTGGAAGGGGGGCAGCCAAACCCCCCCCGGCAGCAGCTCCCAAGCAGGAAACTCCTCCAAGTTAATGCAGCCCTGAAGAGCAGCCTGGGCAGAGCGGCTCATTAAATGTTTCTGGCTGGCGGGAGGCCAGCGGCAGAGCTTGTTTTTTCTATATTCCGATAAACAGTCCGGGGAGGGGAAGGGGGAGGGGGGCGCAGGCTCTGGATGTGCCACCCAGCCCCGGCGGGGGAGCGGGGGAAGAGGCGGGGGGCACACGAACATTGCACGGCAGCCTCGTGTCCTCCCTGCCCGGGGGCAGCGGCCAGGGGCGGCCTGGGGGGGACACAACACATGAAGCCATCCACAGGGATACTCCCAGGTGAGGGGTGACCCCACGGCTCCCCATCACAGCACCGAGGGAGGACCCCCCTTCTTTGCGCCCACCAACATGCCGGTGACATTCCCAGTGGCGTGGGGCCAGCTCCTGGGGAATACGACGGGGCCCCACCGCTGGTCGTCACACGGCCTTGGCCCCGCCGGGGCGGGACCCCGCCAAGGCCGGGGTGTCGGGAGGGGAGCCGTGCCCCCGGTGTGGGGTGCCGGCGGGGCGGGTGCTGTGGTTGCTCGGCCTGGCTCGCAGGGAGGTTCACGTGACTTTCTGCTTGAGGAAGCAGCGCTCTGGCAGCTTCCAGTGGGAGATGGAGGAGGAGGAGGATGGGGGAAGGGGCCGCCTGCCTTCATAGAAACACGGCGGCGAGGCGCAGGCAGCGCAGGGGCGGGGGGCCGCCGAGCAGGGGCACCCCTTCCCCACCCCAGTTATCCAGCTGCAGACCCCTCGGTAGAGGCGGCTCCGGGGAAGGCACGGGGACCGCGTGCTGTCACAGCGCCGCACTGCCTCCAGCAGCCCCCCAGCATGGGGTTCTGGCCTGGCAGGAGGCTCTCTCGGGACTACAGGGATGCTGCCACGGGAGCTGGGCTGAGGAGCGTCCCTGCTGTTCCCCCACAGGGACCCCATGTGCCAGATACCCAGAGAAATGGCAGAACCCTCTCCCCAGGGCCCCCCAAACTTGGCTCCCTGTCTGCTGGCCAGCGCCACGGGGACCTGGTGCTGGACAAGGTTCCAGCAGCCCTCTGAGCCCTGCCTTGCTCCTGGCACAGCAATGTTCTGCACGCAGCAGCAGGCAATGCAGCCAGGCCACCTGCCCCAAACCTGCCCCCAAGCCCAGGTGTGCAGATGATTATCCCTGCGGCAGCACCCTCTCAGGTGCTGAGACTCACCAACTGATCACACCTCCTATGTAGTCCTGCAACCTTGTTAGCCCGCAGGCTCCAGAATTAGGAAGAAGCTCTCCAGCAGACACCCCACAATGGCCATGGTGGGGGGCTATACAGCATCCATGTCCATCAGCAGCATTGCCAAAGCCTCTGCAGGGACACTGTGCCTCACATCCACACGGGGAGCTGTGGCACCCCACAGACCTATTGCCCCAGCCACAGGGGCACTTCGGGGTCACTCTTCACAGTGCCACCTGCATGCCTGCCCAATGTCCCTGCAGAACTCTGCCTGTGGGGTCCCAGTTCCAGGCTGGTACCAGCAGCCATCTGCTCTTGGGTCCCCGATCTTAGTCCAACAGATCTCAGCACAAACGCCATGGAGTCCTAGCCTCACAACCACATCCCAGCACCCGTGCCACAGGGTCCCAGCCTCACAGCCAGACCCCAGCACCCATGCCATGGGGTTCCAATCCCACAGTCAGACCTGAGTGTCCATACTCTAGGGACTCCAGCCCTTCAGCTAGATTCCAACAGCCCAAACCATGGAGATCCCACCCCCACGGCTGGACCTGATAGCCACACCATAGTGACTAGGACTCCAGTTCCCACATCTTGCTAACACCCATAGCTTATCCCCAGCACTAGCACCATGACCGAACCTCAACAGCTACACTGAAAAGTCCCCTGTGTTGTAGTCAGCTCCCAGCAGCCATGCCCCAGGAACCCAGCCCCATAACCAAATCCCAGCACCAACACCACGGAGACCCCAGCACGACTGCCAGATGCCAGCACAAATGCCGTGGATACCTCAGCCCCATAGCCAGATCCCTGCACCAATGCCATGCAGTCCCAGGAACCAATACCATGGAGAACCCATCCCCATAGCTGAACTCCAGCACCAATGTCTTAGAGACCCCAGCATAAATGCCACGGAGACACCAAGCACCAATGCCATGGAGACACCAAGCAACAATGCCATAGAGACCCCAGTCCTGGAGATCCCAGCCTCAAAGCACGACAGCAACATCAATGCAGTGGAGACCCCAGCCCCACAGCTGGACCCCAGTGCCCATTCTTAGGGGACCCAGCCCCACAGCCGGACTCCGGCACCAACACCATAGGACCCCAACCCCACAGCCAGACCCTGACACCACGGGGGCACCCACTTGGTAAGTGGCCCCCAGCTCCCCACCCAGCCCCAATGCCGCGAGGACCCCAGCACCAGGGGCAGCCCCCGCCCCGCGCCCCGCGGCCGCGCCACTCACCAGGGCATGCACAGCCCACTGACATCTTCACATGCCTGGCCCGGCCGGGGGTCGCTGCGCGCTGCCTGGGCCGCGGGGGTCTCGCATGGGCGGCGCGCCGCGGGCTCCGGCGCGGCGGGCGGACGGTAGCGCCGCGGCCAGAGGCGGGCGGGCGGGCGCGCCGCGAACCGGCGGAGCGGCAGCGGCAGCAGGAGCAGCGGCGGCGGCGGGGGCGGTCGGCGCGGTCGGGGCGGGGGCCGCGGCGGTGGAGCGGGAGCGGGGGCGGGGGCGGCTGCGCCGGCGGCGGGCGGGTGGGGGCGCCTCTGCGCGTGCGCGGGGCGTCCCGTTTCCCCCCCGCTGCGAGCGCGTGCGTGTTGCGTGCGTGCGCGTCCACCCCCCCCCCCCGGCTCGTCGCTGCCGCCACGGTCGCGCGCGCACGCACGCGTCCCCCCCCGGCGCCCCCCCCTCCAGTCCCCGTGAGGGGCGGGGGATCCCAGTGTGTGAGGGAGGGTCCGCGAGGGAGGACACGGAGCGAAGGACGAGTGGTTCCCCCGCTGCTCCGAGGGGGCTCTCTACGCTGCCCCCTGGGGTTTGCGGCCGTCGGAGCAGGGGTAGCGCTCTCCTCAGACCCTCGTGGGTGGGTGAGCGTTCTCAGGGCTGCGGGAGCTCCCGGGGGCGGTGCGGGGCTGAGGCTTCCATCCCGCCCCCCCGGCCGTAGCTGATCTTCCCAGGCCCCGAGAGAGACCCGACTGGAGGGACGAGTGCTCAGAGACCCACAGCCGGGGCGGCCAATGAGCGCCCTGGGTGTCTCAGGGCGGCTTGTTGGGGTTTTCACCTGCGAGGCCGTGGGGACGCCACGGCTGTTCCGCACGGAGGAGCCTGCTTAAGGCTTGTGCTTTTTGGGGCCTTGCCAGTCTCCCAGCCCCAGGGCACGGGGAGGACACGGCGCTGTGGAGCTTGCAGGTGGGAGGGAAGGGGCCAGAGAGGGCCGGGGGGCAGGAAGGAAGGAGGCTCGCAGCAGCGCTTTGCACAATCGGGGACATCGTGACCGGCGTTTGCTGTGCCTTGTGCGGGGATGGCAGAGGCTGCTAGACAAGAGGCTGGGGCTGCTCTGGTCTGTGCTGCACTCTGTGCCGGAGGACTGTGACAGCATCCCAGGCGAGGCCGGGCGCCGGAGAGATGCCAGGGCAGAAGGAGCAGAGTGCCGTACGGCCAGGGTCTCCCTGGGGGACGCCCGCCCAAGAGGATCTCACCAGGGATCCTGTCCCAGCCCCATGCAGCTCTGCTCCTGCACACCGGCTGTGGGGCCAGAGCCCAGTCTGCAAAGGCAAACACTGTCCCTCTACTGCCCTGCCAAGATGCAGCCCCAGCCCCGCGATGGAGCAGGGTCCTGGGCAGAGCAAACTGCCCCGGGGAGCCAAAGCCCTCTCTTCACTCTGAAAGGGCTAACTCCAGCCCGTCTATTCATGCCTGGGTGGGACTCACATTCCTCTTTACTGAGTGGAGTGTGCTTTTAAGCATCACACGGTTTTTTGAGCTCTCCTTTGCAGGCTGTGCCTATTAGCACCGAGCAAGCTGCCCACCCTGGGTGCTGCACAGGCTGAAACTGGACGGCCCTGAGCAGCATCTGGCTGTGCCTGGCCAGGGAGTGGTCACAACACAGAGAGGGAAGGGAGGGAGGGGAGCCAGGGATGTAGAATGCACACTTTCCTTTCTGGCTTTTGTTTGTCTTGTAAACCAGCAGGAATGCCTGGTGTTGCCCAGTGCCAGGAGTGCATCCCTGCTGGGGATTGTATTAGGGGAGGGAGGTACCTGCAGGTGGGATTCGCTATGGTCACACTCCAGGAATCCTATGTGCAAAGAATATGGTCCCACTTTACAGGATGCACACCAGGCTAAGCTTGCTCTGTCAGAGATCAGCCTTGTTGTGCTGCAGGGTCCTACCACACACAGGGACAGAGGAATTAGGCAGGTCACTGCATGCCCTGGATGTGCCCCAGGGAGAGGACATGACAGGAAAACAGGGTGTGGAGCAGGAAAGCTGCAGGGCTCGAAGGGGAACATTGCTCCACATCCCTGTCAGCAGGTCCCTGGCTTCCAGGTTATGGACAGCTTCTCCTCAAGCCAGTGGAGAGAGACATGGACATTTCAAAAGCAACTTGTTCCTTGCTTTAGATGTGTTGAGCTCGGGAAACAAAGTGTCTTCAGAGGGGTAACCACACCTGGGCTGCAGAGAACCTGGAGCACTTGCTCAGCCTTCCCAGCTTCCTCTGCAGTGCCAGAGGCAGGCGCTGGCCTGAGGAGCCTGTTACATTCAGCAAAATCCCCCCACATCCCAGCAGTGTGCTCACATTCACCCGTTGCAACACATGTGCTCTTCAGCACTCAGACATAGATCCATGGCCCTGAAGAAGGACCCAGCCACCTGCCTTCAGCTCAGACAGCACTTCAGCCAGATACAAGTGTCAGTGAGAGGTGCTATGGGTTCCTTGGACAAGGTAGAGGGGAGCAGCTCCCCTGGATGGAAAGCCTGTTTGTGACTAGGAAGGAGCAGCACCTGCAAGGCTGGAGGTGATATGGGATGAGTGATGACCTTTGAAAGTCTCTTGTGGCAGGGGTGGAAGGAAGGAGGGCAGGATGAGGCTCCATGTGTCAGACATAGTTCAGCCCAATGACCAGGCACACAAGGCCGAGAAAAGCAGCTCTATCCTGTGGATCTCCAAGGGAATCTGGCCTGGGCAGGTCTGTGCTCCAGTCACTGATGTAGAGGCTGGGACAATTACCCCCTGCCAGGCAAATCGTGCACTGCAGAGCTCCAGTGACATGTCCGCACTGCACCTGTGCTGCTGTAAGCACATCTCTGAACTCCCTGAGATGATCCTACCATCTGTCTGGAAGCCAGAAGAGGCACCAGAAATGACAGTGCCTGAAGAGACTCTGGGCTTCCTGAACAGAGACTACCAAACAGGGCCAGGCAAGCACCTGCACACACTCACGTCCCTTGCCTTCCTGGGGAGCCAGGCTGGATAGCAACTGTGTCCAGTGAGATGAGTTTGGCTCCCTCACGTTTTCCAGGTGATTTTCTGTGTGCTAGCTTTGGAAAGCAGCACAAGCCTAGGCACAAGCAGTGACTTGGGTACCCTGCCCCATTGCCATGCCAGAAGGCTGCACAGCAGCTCACAGTGCCTATCCCTCCTTTCACACCGGAGAGTTTTTTTCATCCCCCCTGTGCCCACCACATTTGCCTGTCACCTCCACCAACCCCACACGAGGTTGGGCTCAATGGAGTACCATGGCAGTGCTGCACAGGCACCTCAGGCACCGGGAAAGCTCACAGCCCGGGGACGGCGAGCCGCTGCGCCCACAGCGGCTCTGCCCCTGCTTTCCGGGAAGCGCAAGGACACGCGGATCGGCCGCGCACACGTGTGCGCCAGAGCCGGCGGGGCGGGCCCGTGGCGCCGCGGGAAAATGCGCGCCTGCCCCGCCCCCAGGGGGCGCTTCCCTCCAGTCCCTCCCTGTCGCCCCTCCCACTGCGCGCCGCGGGGCTGGGCCGATCCTCCTCGTACCCGCCCGCTGCAATGATGGCGGCGAAGCCCGAGGGTCTGCCCGCCCTCAAGATGGCCGCCCGCGCACTCGAGGCCGGGCGCCCCCTCAGGCCGGTGCCGGTCTCTCCGTGCGCGGCCAGTGGCGAAAGGGTGCGTTCCCGGCATGCCGCGCGCGGGTGGGGCGGCGCGGGGGTCGCCGGGAGCTGTAGTGCGGGGCGGGCGGTGGTCACGTGGCGCGCTCGGCAGTGGCCGCGCTGGGAGCAGAGGCGCCAAGATGGCGGCGCGGCGGGGCGGAGCGGTGCCCGCCGCCAACGGGGCCGGGGCCGGTGGCGTTGCCGCCGCGGCCGCTTCCCGGGGCCTGGGGAGCGGCGGAGCCTTGCGCGAACCGCCTTTCTGCGCCGGCGGTCCCCTACAGGTAAGGGGCGGCGGAGCGCAGCGGGCCGCGCCGTGACACGTGGAGGCCGGGGCGGCTCCCGCGGCGGCAGCACCACGTGTGCCGGGAGCGGGCCCGCCGCACCGGCAGCGGGCGGGGGACGCAGCGCGGGCCGGTGGCGTCTCTGCTGGTCCCGGAGTTGGGCGCCCTTTCTATGGTTGGGGGAATGGGGTGCTCGGAGCTCTCCCGCCGGGATGGGGTGTCGGCGCGGGAAGATTACGGGGCTGGGGGGGCCGCACCCCGGCCACAGGACCCGCCGGGATGGGTGGCTTGGTGTCCCCTGCGGGAGATGACACCCCGGCCTTAGGTAGTGGGAGACAGAGAGATGCCGCTCGCGTCATTCCCGCCGGTAATTCCCCCGGTCCCTCCATCCCGGCGCCGCTTTCCGCCACCTGCGGCCGCGGGGAGCTGGGGCTGGCGCGATTCGGGGTACCGACACCCGCCGGTTTCGGTGACTGGCGCTCTGGGTGCAGAACGTGGCCCGGGCGTGGGGAGGTTCCCCGAGCCGTACCGACAGCTTATTCATGGGAAGCGGGACTTTATCCTGTAGCAAGAGGCTCCCGCGCCGGAGCAGATGTGGGACACGGAGCTGCCGCTGTCACCGGCCCCGGTGGGCCCGTGACGGGGCTGGGCTGGGTGCGAATGCGCTGCTGTCTGGATGGGGAGCGCGGGGATACATCACCCCAGGAGGGAACGTGAGGCCACCTGCGTTGTGCGTTTGTCGGGATTTTTTGGGGGAAGCCCTAGGCTGTTTCTGCCTCCGCCAGGGTCCTCCTGCGTGGCCGAGGGGCTGCGGGGGAGACCCCCATCCCGACCCCGCGCTAGAGGACGCCGACCCCGTCTCGCCCCTCCCCGACGCGAGCAGACTGGGCTGCGGATGGGGGAAGAGAGGTGTGTTCCCGCCTGATGTTTTCCGAAAGCAGCAGAGGAATCCACGGAGCATCCTCTAGCTGTGCCGCGCTGGCCGGGCGGAGCCCCTGTCTCCCCGCGCCCACTCCGCGCTCTTGCCGGCAGCTCCGGCGCTGTAAGAGCAGCCTTGGCAGCCAGCCGGAGACCATGGCCGCCCTGTGCTCGGGGCGTAGCCGCAGCACGCCGGGCACACGTGTCACAGCGGCCTGCGGGGGCCTCCGTTGTCCCTTCCGGGGACCAGAGCGGCGAGCGCAGTGTACGCTGCGCCGAGTGTGTTGGAAGAGCTGGTGGCCACGCTTAGGCTTTGTCCATTGCAAGTAGTTAGCTCCAGTCCCAGTATCTCCCGTGTCCAAAGCCCGCTCTGGGCCTG